TTTTTTTTTTTTTTTTTTTTTTTTTATTAATCTAAAAATATTTTTTGCAAATCTTTTTTGTCAAAAGGAATTTTACATTGTGGACATTTTCTATTTCTTGTTTTTATATTATTAAATATACAATTTTCACAGTATATATGTCCACATTTTATTATAATATAATTTCTAAAGTTTTCCATACAAACACTACATATTAATCTCCTACGTAATTCATTATTTTCTTCTACTAATAAATGATTATCTTTTTTCGAAATATCTTTAGAAATATTTATCTGATTGGAAAGAGTATTTTGAAGATTTTCATTTTCTTTATGCAATGTTTTACATTGTTCAATTAACTTTCTATTACAATCGTATACATTTTTTAATATATTTGATATTTCATTTTTTTTTTGAAAAATATACTCATATTTTTGTTTTAATTTTATAAATATACTCATTTGTTCTTCTCTTGCACTATCTGAAATAACTGCATTTTTTCTTGCATGAAAAAATAAAGTTAAATATAGGTTTACAAATTTTTCATATTTTTCATAAATACTATTTATACAGGACATTTTATCCTGATAACTACTTTCTAATTGTTTTAATTTTTCTTCTACATATGCCTTATTTACTTTATTATTATATTTTTCTAAAGATTCTAACTCTTTATTTTTTATTTGTGTAATCATTTCATCTACTTGCTCTTGTTTTTTTTCAAATTCTTTTGTAATTTCTTCTATCTCTTCACTTATTGCATCATAATTTTTTTTTAAGTTTATTAATTCTTCTTCCACATGTTTTTTTTTTTCCAATTTTTTTTTCAAATTATTGTTTTCTAATAGCAATTCATCATACTTCAATATATAATCGTCAACATTTTTCATGTTTTTTTGTAATTCAATATTATTTTCATTTTTATTTTTGTTATCTATATGGTTTTTCAAAATGGATTTCTCTTCTTTTTTCATATTCTCATTTCCTTGTTTTTCTTCATATCTATGCATGTCTTTTTTTTCATACAAATCTATGTTTTTATTATAATCATCTTCATTTATAATTATATTATAGTCACTATTATTAAGGATACTTTTTTTTGTTGTTTCAAGATTTTCTTCTAATGATTTTGTAGAATTCAATAAATCATCTTTCTCTTTTTCTAGAAATGCAACTTTATCTCTTAAATTATTCTCTGATATTTTAAATTTATCTAATTGTAATTTCATTTTTAAAATTTCACTCTCTTTTTGTTGCAATTGCATAGTTTGTTTTTTTTCAATATTTTTTAATACACCAATCTCATATTCCATTACTTTTATTTTACTTTCTATTTTTTCTTTATCTAATTTATATGTAGCTAAATCAACTTCTAATTCTTTTATTTTATTTGTTAAACTTTTTTTATCTCTTATTGTTTCATTTAATAAATTTTCAAATTCTTCATCTCTCAAGTTCTCCATTTTTATAATTTCTTTTTTTAAAATAATTATTTCATTTTCTTTCTCTTTTAGTTTATTATAAATCTCAGTTGACTCATTTATTAAATTTTTAAATGGTTCACTTTGTATAATTTTTTCTTTTGTTATTATTTTTTCTAAATTTAAAAATAGCTTTGATTCAACATTATTATTATTTCCATTATTATTATTTTCATAACTATTATCATTACTGTTATTATTATTATTATTATTATCATTAACAAAATTATCATTTTTTACAAGATGTGCATCTTTATCACATGTATTTAAGTCGTAACAATTATCAGAAGTCATTTTATTACTTTCTTTATTTTCTACTTTTGAATAATTCATAATATCTTCATTTTTGTCTATTTTTTCTTCAAGTATATTCTTACATATATCTTCTTTGTATAACTTAAAGATTAAAGATGAACTTTTTTTTTCTAATCTATCAATTTCAATTTTTAAACTTTCACAATTATTTTGTAATTCATTGTTTTTTTTTTTTTCATCCGCATATTTTTCCATATAAAAACTTTTTTCATATTTTATTTTTCTAATATATTCTAAATTGTAGTTTAAATTAATATTTTTCAAATCTATAATTTTATTTATAAAACTTAGGGTATTTCTTAAGTTTTCTAAAAAAAAGTTTTGCAATTTTTCTTCAAAATTATCTTTACAAACATCATTCATATTTTCATTTTTTTCTTTTTTTTTTTTTGTATTTACAACTTTATCTTTTTCTTTTCTTTTATTATCTGTTAAATCATTATGTAAGCAAAATGATTGAGATTCATTGTTTTCAAAAAATAAATTATCTCTAGAATTTAAACAGATTCTTTTTGCTACATTTACATCATTTAATGAATTTCTTTTGTTACTATTTATTATGTTTTCATCTATTTCTGCTTGATTGGTTTTACTAAAATCTTTATTATTCACAATTTCCTTTTTTATATATCCAAGTTCATCATCATTAATAGTTTTTTCTAATTTTTCTTTTTCTTCTTCACTGCATATTTCATTTGTATTTTTCTTATTTTCCTCTTTATTAACCATTTTTACTATATTATCCTTACTATCCTCATTGTTAGATTCTTTTACTAACATATCTCTTACATGTTCATTATGTATATCTTTCTTATTATTTTTTAATAAATCAGCAAGATTTTCTAAATTTTCACCTTTTTCATTTTTAATAGAATTGTCATTTGATAAATCGTCTAGTTTTATTTTGTTTGTTTTAATATGTATCGAATTACTATTATCATCATAATTAGAAAATGTTTTAATTAAAAACTCTTCATTTTCATTATCTAAGTCATTTTCACTTACATACTTTAGAAATATAGTGAGAAATTCTTCAATATTATAATAAGGAGATTCAATCGAAACGTTATTATTATCTTCCTTGCTTTTATCTATTAAATTTAATAAATCATCATTAAATATTCTCCATACAATATTAATATTCCTTAAAACACAATCATAAAAATTCAAGTTGCTTTTTAGATCGTTAATATACTTATTTTTTTCTTGAATCTCTTTTCTATATAGATTTAAACAATTTTTTAAATTATGTATATTTTCAATAAGTAACTCAGATTTTTCTAACGGTAATGGCATTAATTCATTTTTTTCATATTTATTTCTTTTCTTATTATTCATTATTTTAATTTATAAAAAAATAACAAAAAAAAAAAAAAAAAAAAAAAAAAAAAAAAAAA